GTATCCCTCCTCCCCTGATTCTTCTCTTGGGGTGGTCTGTCTGCAAGTGTGGGGGCCCGCAATGCTTGGGAGGGGCCACGCGCAGTGTGTGTACTAGAGTTGTGCGTATGCTCACTTGAGGCGCTCTTCCCTTACCAGTCCAGTGTTCCTGGAGGAAGGTCACACACGAAATAAACTCTGCCATTTTGTCTCTTAATGTGCATGTGTGAACCCATTTGCTCAGCTGCTGAGCTCTTATCAGGAAGCTACTGATCTCCGGTTTGAGGTGTTTCTGTCTACTGGGAGACTGCCTTTCCCTTGTGCCGGCTGTGGCCAATTATTATTTTAGAGAGACAGGTTAACAACTGCCAAACCATGACCTGATGATCACCTGACATTTCTGGTCAGGATTTGGGGGGCCTTCTCCTGCCCTGTTAATGTCTGACTAGCGACCTACTGTAACAATCTAAATCATATCATGGAAATGCTATACAATTTGTGGAGGGAAGGGAGTGAGGATGGAAGGCTAAATGAATTTGAAGGAGGCAACCACAGCATGTGCAACCTACATTGGGTAATAGTTTGAACTTCCAGAGTTCCAAAAATAAGGCTGAAATGCTGAAATGTTGCACTCACACTGATTAGACATGAAATAAGTGGTAAAACATAGAGCCCCATAGAAGCTCAAAATACATCAGGTTCTCCTGGTGTAAAAAGTAAAGAGCTTTTTACTTGTAAGTGCTCTTTGAAAAAAAATAAAATAAACAAGTGGGTTTTTCCCCTTTCTGTTAAGCTTAACTGTTAATATGAGTAAAACTAATTCTAATAATTCCCTATAAAAATATAAGACTGCCAAAGTAATTATATCACATTGAACATTTTTGTTTTCTTGACATTAAAACCAACAAGCATTCTAATTTAGATTGATGTATCTTAGTACAAGTATTATTTAATGTTTGTGGTCTTCATGGATCTTTTTGGATTACACAAGGGGGAGAATCATATTTGCATTCAGCCTTGTGTAGTCATAAAATAGCAAACAGATTACCTGCAAAGGGTTATCCTAGCCCTTAAGTAATTGTCAAGCTCATAAGGGAACCTCATTGTGCTATTCCTTTAGGATCCTTCTTCTGGCCTCAGACAGTTGTTCAGCATTTCCCATACCAACCCACCAACCCACTCAGCCACTGAGCTCCCTGCAGCTATGCCTAAAATGTCCCACTTGCACTGGTTTTCTCTGGATGACGTCAGCCTATCCTAAACCCACTGAATTACCCACAACCCCACCAGCTTCTCCAGTTTCCCTGTCTTACTTCTCTCTATAGGACTCTTCACCCTTTACCCCAATCAACTATAACAGTACCCAACACACCAGTTAAAAGCGAATACTTGCTTTATCCCTTCAGGATTAGACATGTTTTAAATTTTTCATTTGTTATACAAGTCTTACTGATTTACTATTGAGAACTGTTAGGTTGGTGCAAAAGTTATTACGCTTTGGGCATTTTAAAGACAACGACTGCAATTACTTTTGCACCAATCTAATAAGTAGATGAGTAAGATAGCTAAGTTTTCCTACCCAGATTCCATCTGAAAAATAATGGAGAAAATCACTGTAGTATTTTCTTTGTAAAACACCTTAATTATTTATATTTATATTTATTTTTGGAGATGGAGTCTTACTCTGTTGCCCAGGCTAGATTGCAGTAATGCATTCTCAGCTCACTGCAACCTCCACCTCCCAGGTTCAGGCAATTCTCCTGCCTCAGCCTCCCAAGTAGCTGGGATTACATGTGCCCACCACCACACATGGCTAATTTTTGTTATTTTAGTAAATATGGAGTTTTACCATGTTAGCCAGGCTGGTCTTGAACTTCTGACCTCAGATGACCTGCCTGCCTCAGCCTCCCAAATTGCTGGAATTATAGACATAAGCCACCATTCCAGTGCTATTATTATCATTTTTGAGACAGGGTCTTGCTCTGTCACCAGTGCTGGAATGCAGTGCATAGCTCCCTGCAGCCTCCAACTCTTGGACTTAAGCAATTCTGTCACCTTAGCCTTCTCAGTAACTATGACTACAGGGGCACACCACCTTGCATGGCTAATTTTTAAAAATTTTGTAGAGAAGAGTTCTTTCTCTGTTGCCCAGACTGTCTCAAACTCTTGACCTCAAGCATTCCTCCCACCTTGGCCCTGCAAAGTGCTGAAATTACAGGCATGAGCCACCATGCCCAGCCCTAATGATTCTTAATAAGTAGTTATGGTCAGCTTGGAGGATACGTGAGTCCACCAACCTCTAGTTAGGGTGGACAGGATTTTCTACTTTTGCTTCCAGCCCATAGTACTCAGCGGGGCATGGCAGGAGGGAAATTTCTTTCACTACTGTTGCACAAAGAATGAGTGGAACTTCAGCATATCATTCTAGCATATGGTTAATGCCATTAGAAGGGTTGAAAACTCACCCCTTTCAGGGAGATTTTAAAGATATCTAGAGATCAGACTGCCACAATTACTTTGAACTGGATTTTCTATGGAGGAGGTTTGGTTTGATAAACAAAGATGAAAATGCATGTTGAATATTCTCACTTGTTCCTTTCTGCAACCCAGAAAATGTCCCTCCCTTCTTCTCCTCATTCACCTTTATATATTGGGGTAAAGAGGAAAGAAGGAGAGGCAAGGAAAACAACAAAATGTTTGAACTAAAAATATACATATTTATATATACAAATACAATACAATGATTTCTAAAAATAAATGCCTATGACAGTTGTTTGTACAGACATCTGACCTTAAGGAAGTCCATGATACATTGTTGAGAGGAAAAGCTAGGTGAAGAGAGAAGTATATGCTTCTATTACAGTTAAGAGTTGGAGAATATCCTGTGCCTCTAAATTGGTGATGAGGTTTATTTCTCAGCAAATCTTCCTGTTATTTTTACGGACAAACTTTTATCAATGTAAGAACAAATTTTTTGTCTTTATTTTTTGTTTTATCCCTTGTTCTATGCATATTTTGCCTTTACCTTCTCATAGAACATGGACACATACAGATACCACACACACACATAAAATTAACATAAGAATTATTTCAGTCTAGCTGAACTCCCTGTAGAATTGTCAAAAGGCCACTCAGTACTCTATTTGTTCATCACCAGGTTTTATACATAAATATATATACATTTAGATAAATAGGCAATATAGATAACAGATGATAGGTGGAAATAAAATAGAATGAAATAATAATAGACAGACAGACAGCATTCATATCCTTTCCCCATATGTCTTGAGTTTCTCCATTATTTTTTAAACTGGTGTTCCAAGACAGTTTCCACTAAAATTTATCTTAATAGGCACATTCAAGTATGTGCTTTTTGTCTAAGATGCTAAGGCCAGGAAAGTGGCACTTTGAACATTTAAGGAATTGAATTAACTCAGAGTGAAAACGTGTCCTTATCTCTGATCATACCAGTGTGCACACGTGTGAAGGATTGGCAGATAGGATTCATAAGGTCAAATGAAGACTGACAAGAAATGCATCGTAAGGATTGTGAGAAAAAAAAAGCAAATATCCCAATCTCTCATAATTCTAATTTATTTTAATTTGAATTGCATTAACATTAGAACAATCAAATTGTCTTCAATGTCTACTTTTAAGATAATATTTACTAAAGAAAAAAAGGCATTCTGATAGGTGTCCATGAACCTCTAAGCTTTTTATATTTAAAGAAGCTGATTGCTTTTGTGGAGGAATTGCTGTTGAGCATACACATTTTCAAATTTAAAAGAGAGATTAGGTGAAAATTCAATGTGCTGTGCTGAAGAAGCATTGCTTCTAAGGCTCCTTTTTATACACACATATTCAAAAGCTAGGTTTGCATCCTATTTTGTAGCATGTACTGTGAAGTTGGCAGGAAATCTGACCAAACCCATCATAATTTATTTCCTGTTAATTCTTGTAAACAACGGTGTGTATGTAAACTTTCACATACATATGCAAACATATTACAAGAAAAATTTCAATACATTTACGGCTTAGCAATAAACCTCATCTCCTTTAGAGGTGGAAGGTACTCTTTCATTCTTAACTTTCTCAAGACCATCCACATCAGTGTTAAATGTTTTATCATGGGCTGGGTATGGTGGCTCATGCCTGTAATCCCAGCACTTCGAGAGGCCAAGGTGGGCAGATCACCTGAGCTCAGGAGTTCAAGACCAGCCTGGCCAACATGGAAAAACCCCATCTCTATTAAAAGTACAAAAATTAGCCAGGAGTTGTGGTAGGTGTCTGTAATCTCAGCTACTCAGGAGGCTGAGGCAAGAGAATGGCTTGAACCCGGGAGGCGAAGGTTGCAGTGAGCCAAGATTGTGCCACTGCACTCCAGCCTGAGTGACAGAGTAAGACTTTGTCTCAAAAGAAAAAAAGGAAAAAGTTTCATCATGTATGTCCCTAAATAAAACAAAGGTGATGGAATGCTAGTAAATGTCTGAAATTTTACTAGTACATCAGATGAGATTATTAACCTATTTCCAAATCTAAGCACTTGAAGGATTAATCCTTTGTAATGAGAAATAAATATGTTCTCTGGTTTGTATTTATGGTAATGTAAAATTTGAATCTTCTCCACTGGTTTTCTGAAATAACTTAATAAATCTCTTCATTAAAGAAAAATGTGCTCCCTTTTGGATCTGAGGGAAATCATGGCTAAAGTAAAGTAATATTGTACACTGGTAAAAAATGAGTCAGGTTTTAAAAACAAAGAATGATGTGGAAACCGTGTTTCTGTCTTATAAAGTAAAAAAGATAAATATTGAAAAAATTATCTTACACAGTGATATGAAAACAATATAGTTTGATTTTGCTTTTGCGTCGGCTTACTGCTTTTGGTGTCTTATCAAAGTTATTCATGTTCCTGGTATCTCATTATTTACTGACATTTATCATTTTACCCCATGATAGATCTGTTCAAATATGTTTTCACTTTTCTGTTTTTTAAGTGTCTCATGTTATCTCATTTCCAGATGTGGACAAGGATGGAAAGGAAATAGATGCCATGTCAAGTTTAATCCCCCTGCAGACTTCACATACTCTCGGAGCAGTAGGTGACATTATGACTAAACAAATGGCTCAGTTTGGGGTGGTCTCTTCATATTTCAATTCGTATTTATCTTTTTCATTTGTTTAAAATCTCAGATATATGGATCCTCCTGGGTGTTGGATTAGCATTCCTGATGACTCATATCACAGTTGCAATCTTGTGTTTCCTTGCAAACAGAAAGCTGCCAGTAAGGTAAGTGGTGCCTTTAGTTGCTGAATTAAATATACCATAGCAGAAAAATTTTCTGTAACATTTTCTTTGCTATTTTTTTCTTTCATCCCATATTATATACAGGGAACTTTAGTGCTTTTATGCTTTATGGATTTATTTTTCTGGGCAGAAAGGAGCTACCTAACAAGAATTGCTCTTCTTTTTTTTTTTTTTTTTTACTATAAAGCCTGAAGTTGACTTTTCAGATTATGTTAGGAGCCTTTTTGAGGGCTCCAAAAGAAGAAAAATGACATCATCCACAGACTAAAAACATATGAGGGGCTATATTTGCCATTTCTGGTGGTGCCTGAGGAAGATAGCAGAATGGCAAAGGAAATTCTTTCTTGGCTTACACAGTGTATTAGTTTGTTCTCATGCCACTAGTAAAGACAAACCGAGACTGTGTGACTTATAAAGGAATGCAGTTTAATGGACTCACAGTTTCATATTTCTGGAGAGGCCTCACCATCATGGTGGAAGGCAAAAGAGAAGCAAAGGCACATCTTTCATGGCAGCAGGCAAGAGAGCTTGTGTAGGGGAACTCCCCTTTATAAAACCATTAAATATTGTGAGACGTATTCAGTATCATGAGAATAGTATGGGAAAAACTCACCCCATGATTCAATTGCCTGCCACCAAGTCCCTCCCATGACACATGGGAACTGTTATAATTGAAGGTGAGATTTGGGTGGGGGGACAGCCACACCATATCACACAGGGAGGCAGGACTTGTACCCGCTAATGTTTTAGCCTAAGCATCCCATGTGCTGAGCAATGCACAAAACAGGGGCCAAGAGCTGCTGCACCTGCAGGAAGAAACTCTGCAGGCTGGGCTCATGCAAGACCCAAAGACCCTCACAATGCATAGTGCCATCAAGGGTCCTGGATCTTTCTACCCATTACCCATTTTCTCATTCCCAGTATGGGTTCCAAGTCAAACAAGTAATGAAAGTGATTGGCTTTTATGAACACAGCAAGATAAGGGCTCACTGAAAGATTTAATAAAACTTTTAGAAATTAAAGAAGTGCATCATGTCTTCAACACCTGAGTTTTTGGTCAGAAATTCAGATCTGCTGTAACACCAAGTATGTCACTGAGCAAAGGTTAACTCGCTGTTTTCTTTGGTGTCAATTTGTACATCCCGCCTGCTGACTTCTCTTCAGATCTCCAGCCTGCAATCATGTTAATGAGCAGACACCTGTCTTGATAACAGGACTTATAGCAAAGTTATTATAGAACTATGGTGTTCATTTAAAAAAAATAGTATGTTTAACCCTTTAAGACTATCTTGGGCTAGGCGCATTGTCTCACGCCTGTAATCTCAGCACTTCGGGAGGCTGAGATGGGCAGATCACTTGAGGTCAGGAGTTCGAGACCAGCCTGGCCAACATGAGGAAAACCCGTCTTTTCCCAAAATACCAAAAAGATTAGCTGAGTATGGTGGCACACATCTGTAATCCCAGGTACTCGAGAGGCTGAGACAGGAGAATCACTTGAACCTGGAAAGCAGAGGTTGCACTGAGCTGAGGCCGGGCCACTGCACTCCAATCTGGAGATGACTGGAAGGAAAGAAGGATGAAAGTTTTTGAAGTTATTGTCTCTGGATTAGTGCAGTATCTTTAGTGAGAAGTTTTCTTCTTTCCTGGGAAAGGAGATTAAAATGCCATCACCAGCACTACCCAAAACCAGTGACGGAAAGGCTCAAAGAGAATCAATAGTTTAGATTGATGATGCCTAGAAAACAGGCGAAAAATCTACAAAATCTACTCCCCAGAGCTGCGTCAGGGTAAAGTGTAAAGAAAACATTTCTAGGAGTGTTAAGACAATTTTTGGGTTCATGTTTTAAAAGTAGATGCCACTGGAGTTTTCTGCCCAAGCAAGTCTTAAAAAGACTATGATATGGAATGCTGTGTGGCCATAAAAAGGAGTGAGTTCATGTCCTTTGCAGGGACATGGATGAATCTGGAAACCATCATTCTCAGCAGACTAACACAGGAACAGAAAACCAAACACTGCATGTTTTCACTAAGAAGTGGGAGTTGAACAATGAGAACACATGGAGACAGGGAGGGGAACATCACACATAGAGGCCTGTTGAGGGGGGGAGGCAAGGGGAAGGAGAGAATGAGGACAAATACCTAATGCATGCAGGGGTTAAAACCTAAGTGACGGGTTGATGGGCGCAGCAAACCACCATGGCACATGTAAACCTATGTAACAAGCCTGTACATTCTGCACACATATCCCATAACTTAAAGTATAATATGATAACAATAATAAAAGCATGGCATAATGTACCTGGGAATGGAGGAAATTGTATTAGAGGGAAAGGAGGGAGAGAGGAAACTGTGCAATCTCTCAGTTATGCAGATCCACAGAAAATGTGGAAGCTGGAGTTTACTTTCAGTTCATTTGAGGAAACATGAGAAGTAGAGATAAATTGGAACTGCAGGGCTGTTCAGGCAGTGGTCATTCAGGTGAAGCAATACCCTTTCCAGACAGGGCAATGGGGGCAGGGTTGAGCTGCAGGTAGATGCAGCTGCCTTTCCTTTAAAAGGTGTATTGGGCCATTCTTGCATTGCTACAACAACATACCTGAAACTGGGTCATTTATTTAAAAAGATGTGTAATTGGCTCATGGTTCTGCAGGCTGTACAGGAAGCACAGCACCATTATCTGCTTCTGGAGAGGCTTCAGGAGGCTTTCACTCATGGCAGAAGGCAAGGCAGGAGTTTGCACATCACCTGGAGAAAGCACGTGCAGGAGAGAGAGAGCGTGGAGTAGGGGGGAAGTGCCACGCAATTTTAAATGACCAGATTTGGTGAGAATAGCACCAAGGAATGAGGGATCCACTCCCATGACACAAACACCTCCCACCAGGCCCCACCTCCAACACTTCGGGTTACAATTCAACATGAAATTTGGGTGGTAACGAATAATCAAACTATTAATATATCATAATATGTCAAAAGGCATCCAGTGATAGAAGGGTCCTAAGTGAAATTGACTTACACACACATACACACACACACACACACACACACACACACACACACGAAATCCATACACTATCACCATGAAGGCCACAACAACAGGAAAGTCAAGCAAAAAAAGTCAGAACTACACGAACCCATTGCAGTAGAAGACACCGCCCTACTATTGACAGGTAACAAGTTACCTAAGAAGACTCCAGGCTCTGTTTCCAGCTCTTCTCTGTCTACACCCATAGAACGAAGCCTTGACAAAACAGTGGGATATGCTTCAGAGCCAAAGCATAACCTTCCCCCTTTTCCTTACTCCATGCAGCAGCCTTGCACAAATCTGCAATGTGCTGTGGGGAAAAAGTAGGAGACAAATAGATGTTGGAATTTGGTTTTAACAGCCTTAAAGTAGATTGGACCAAGTTTTAATCCTTAAAAGTGACCATAGGTTGCTCAAGCCTGTAATCACAGCACTTTGGGAGGCCGAGGCGGATGGATCACGAGGTCAAGAGATCGAGACCATCCTGGTCATTGGTGAAACGCTGTCTGTACTAAAAATACAAAAAATTAGCTGGACATGGTGGTGCGTGCCTGTAATCCCAGCTGCTCAGGAGGCTGAGGCAGGAGAATTGCCTGAACCCAGGAGGCGGAGGTTGTGGTGAGCCAAGATTGTGCCATTGCACTCCATCTGGGTAACAAGAGTGAAACTCCATCTCAAAAATAAATAAATAAATAAATAAATACATAAATAAATAAATAAAAGTGACCATAAGTTTATGAAATTTGCCTAATAGATGAACATGGACCAGGAAGGAAGGAGGTTAATAAAATATGGAATAAATGAATAATTGCAAAAAATAGAAGTACTTTCATATTTTTAAACGACCTTGTTGTGATACTAGATGTATGAGTGAGTCAAGTCTTAGTCTCTACTGCCTAATAGAAGTGGGTTAGGTCGAGATAATGTCGCTGTCTCTAACCCTCTGATTACCTTCCTGTCATCTTCCCTCTCCTTGGTACCTTCTCTTCTGATTTCCCAAATCTCCAAACAAAAATCTTTATTCCCTCTGACTGACGAAAACAATTGTCACCCCAGGCTGTATTGTCACTCTTAGTGACCTTTTGAGTCATTTGATCCACACCTGCTCTTAGAACCAAGATAATGAAGTTCTTACAAGTTGAACTGAAGAGAAAAGGACTCCCTCAGGCCAAGTGTGGTGGGTCACGTCTGGCCTGTAATCCCAAGACTTTGGGAGGCCAAGGTGAGAGAATAGCTAGCTCAAGACTACCCTGGGCAGCATAGCCAAACCCCATCTCTACAAAAAATACAAAAATTAGCCAGGTGTGGTGGTGCATGCCTGTAGTCCCAGCTATTTGAGAGGCAGAGGTGAGAGCATTGCTTTAGCCTGTGAGGTCAAGGCTGCAGTATGCTGTGATCCTGCCACTGCACTCCAGCCTGGGTGACAGAGCAAGACCACATCTCTAAAAATAAAATTTAAAAAAATGAGAGAGAGAGAGAGAGAGAGTCAGTCCCTCCAAGGAAGCAAGCAGACCAGCCTCAGCAGATGGCTAGGCAGATCCAAAGGTTCACTCTACCAAGTTCTTCAGATCAGAGGATGCTTACTCTCAGGCCTCAGGGGCCTCATAAGAGGATGTGGCTCAGATAGTTCTAGGGAATCATTTTGCAGATGCTCAAATGTCATGTATTCCCTTCTGAAAGGGATATGATTGAGGAAGGTGCCCCAGCCTGCTGTTCTCCTTTGTAATTTCCTCTTTCTCAAATGTCCTTTTCTTTACCTTAAAATTGTGTTGGGGAGAGGGAGGAATATGCCCTGGAAGAATGGAGCAGAGGGACAGCTGGGGACTGAAACACTCCAAAAAGAAATGTAAGTAGCAAAAGATGAGATTCAAGACAAGAAATATGGAAAAAAAGGAGCAGGAGATAAACTTTTGCCAAGTTTCTATATTTCTCTTCTCTTCCCTTCTCTCCCTTCCCTTCC